CACACCAAATCGCGCTATCGCCGTATAACAATTTATTAATTAACCATTTTCACGGTCAACGACACACACACACTTTAATTTAAGTTAAACTTTAATTTCCTATTTACAGTTTACTCTATTAGAGGGTTATTTATTGTGAAATATATTAATACAATAATCGATCGATCGAGACGGCTGCGACGGGCTTACTTACTTACTATAAATAATATATTATGTATCTACGATTAGTTCGATCAGTTTTCATTTCGAATATCAATAATAAGCTGGTAAATACATACTTATAAAACAATTTATAGATTTATCGCGGCACATTTAAAGGGCATTCACGGCACACCGGTTGGGAACCACTGTTCTAAAGTGTCAAACAAAAATATTACATTTTTAATTTGTACGAAAAAATAAAATGGTAAAATGTAACTAATATTTCAACTTAGATTCAAACCTTTGCCCCTAAAAATAGCATATTTTGTCGTTCGTTATTTTTTTTTTGAGTTTGTGTACACGATTTTGACAAGAATGATTACTCCAATCAACACAAACATAAGATATTACTAATAAAAAATGTTGTGTAGCCGTATTTTGAAAAAGAGTAATTTTACAAATTTCCTAACAGTATTCCTAATAATTTCGAAAAACTGACGAGAAGTTATAAAAATACGACAAAATTTACAGCACACCAGTTTTCGACAGTTGGAATTTTTGTCTTCAAAATATTATAATCAATAACTTCAACGGCTTAAATAAAATAATTTCAAAAGTTATAACTACTGAAATACTCAAATACGAGTTATGTTTATTACTTAATTAGTTTTTATGTAAAAAACAATAGAATGAGAATCTTGAAATTAGGATTACGGGTCCAGTTTGTTTAACTCGGTAAAAACACCGATAATAACTATTGTCAGTTATTTGGCTAGTAGGTTTGATAAAATTCGTTAAATACTAGGCATCTCCGAGGGAACTTGCAAGAACAATATATAAACTCTGTACCTTAAAATGTCTATTATAAAATAACTGGTATAACTATAGTGCTCATATTTTAAATAGAGTATTTTCTCGTTTTTTGCGTCCCTAGCCTAAGTCAGTTTCGTCAAATCCTATTAATCAAATCAAATCCTATGTTTCTGTCAGGTCGGTCAATGTTGTGGATCCTATTTGATTTAATTACGTATATTTAGTCTCCAAATTTGTTATGAAGTTTTTGATACTGTTTTAAGATTAAGTATTACTATCAATTTAAAAACTTTTTTAAAAACTTTTAAAAAAGTTTTGTGTATAGTCACAGGATTTTTTTTCGTTATTTATTATTACATATTGATAAATTCAAGCCTATACTTTATAAATTTTAAAATTAAAATGAATTACTGTTGGATTTTAACGAAATCAATTGCTTTGCTAATATGAAATATACTTAATATTCGGTCTTCTTTGAGAGTTAAACATTATAATTCGTTTTTGAATACTAGGTACATTTTCTATTCAATATTATAGTTGGAATTTACCAATTTATAAAAACCATTTGATCATCTAATCACACCAAAACCATGTATTCTAAAAATATTACATTATTAAAAAATTTATAGTTAAATAGTTAGAGGATTGAGAAATATTGTAGTTAATGGAAATAATAATTTTTCATTATATGGTTTACTAATAACAGTTTATTGAATTAGTTAACCTTTTTCTCGACTATAATATTTAATCGAATAGTAAAATTGTTTAAGTTTATTTAATTTATTATATAAATAATTTAGAATTAGAAGGGCTACGGGTAAAAACGATAATAATCAAAATTCCTAAACTGCTTATTATTGCAGTTTTAAAGTTTCAGAACTCATCAAAATTAATAGATAAAATTACCTCAAAAAAAAAAAACCATCGTGGTTATACAACTAATTTTTAGTAAAATGAATAGTAAAAAAATTTAATTTACTTTTTAAATAATCATCGTTTTACCACATATCCCTCCGTTTATTATGTATTATAAAATTTGCTGTTATTTTTAAAAAACATACATTTTTTATACCTATATGGCAGATATATACAACGGCATAATCTAGTATTTAATTATTTTAATTATTTTTTGTTAATATTCTCTCTCTCTTCTCTCTCCTTTTGGTTTCGGCCTTTAAGACCATACCGCTTAATACAAATCTTGCCATCTGTCCCTATCCTCTGCAGCTTCTCTCCATCTGATTCCTGGGTCTATCATTTTTAAGTCCAGGCGCGGATTCAGGGGGGGGCTATGGGTGCTCGGGCACCCCCTGTCGCCTTGGCCACCAACAAAATAAATTTATATTATAAATTATGTTATTTCTTATTTTTCAAAATAATAATAATAATAAATAATATCGATTATTCCGTTATCGGAATTTAAATAATTTAATATCAGATATCAAAAATAGATTTTTAGGTCACGGACACGAAACGATTATGTATTTACAATATTTAATACCATTTTTCCTACTTGAAGATACAGATATCGAAAAAATTATTAAATCGGCCAAATTTTATATCGATGATCTAATTGGCTCGATAGAAGAGGTTAGAGGTGAAGTTACTTTGTGGAAACAATTTTGGAAATCCCAATTAGATAAACCTAAAACTGCTATAGAAGCTTTGACTCATGCATCTGAATTTTATCCTAATATAAAGGAATTGCTAAAAATTATTTGCGTTATACCAGTTACCACTTGCACCGCAGAAAGAATATTTTCCTCACTTCGACAAACAAAAACATATTTAAGATCAACAATAGGAGAGGATAGATTAAATGGACTTATGCTTCTTAATATTCATAGGGATATTAAAATTACTCCAGAGGAAGTTATTGAAGAATTCAATGAAAAACACCCAAGAAAATTACAGTTACAATATATGTAAGAAATTATTGTTATTTTTAAGTTTATATTTAATAAATACTGATGTATGAAAAAAAAGTTAGCACCAATAAGTCAAATAGAAAATATTAATTTAAATAAATAGAAAGGTGTAACAATCTTTTTTTTTTTTGAGCACCCCTGTCAAAATTTTCTGGATCCGCGCCTGTTTAAGTCCTTTTTTACACAGTCTTCCCACCTCAATCTGGATCTTCCTAGAGGTCTTTTACCTATTGGATCTTTCTCTATTACCTGTATAACTAGAGATTCTTGCTTACGCCAGGCATTTTTGTTAATATTATAATTATAATAAATTTTTAAATAAAATGTATTTCTTTCTTGACCTATTAATGAACCATCTATAAAATCGTTTTATATTTTTTTAATTTATGTTTGAATCATGCAAATACTTAATGATGTAAAGAACAACAATAAATAATACTTTTCTGCCATTTCACTTTTTTAAAATAATTTTGAGCAATTTTTCATATTAATGAATGTTTAATATTAAAATAATATCATTCTATGTATTTTTGATTTTGATTTTTGATAATATTGATCGTGTGTTAAAAATTGATATTTACTATTTAATTTTTATCTATTTAATATAGACAATCTAGATAAATAAATTAATTGCATTCTTTTTTATTAAAAGTTTATATTATTTTAATATTAATACATAATAATTCAAAAATGATAAGTTATCAAAACTAAAAATGCATAAATCCCATGTTATATATAAATTTTTGTCTTCTAATTAACTATATTTAATTATTTAAATTCAACTAATTTATCAGGTATAATATACATTGAATATAATCTATACAATATAATATATATAATATACATAATATTATTATGTACAGGGTGACCTGGTGTTGTTAAATACTCATTTGCTCGAATGTCTGTGTATATAAGTTATTAGTACCACCTAAAATAAATTTACTGTCAATTTTGAATATTTATTATGAATTCGTAGTTTTGTGCTGTATGAAATAATTTATAAACTATTGTTGGATATTTTTTATATTTACTAAAAGAATTGTAATATGTATTAAATTAAATGTCGTGCAAATTATTATGTTTAAAATCTTATGCAATTAATGGTTATAAGACGTTGATTGTACAAATAATTTTTCAAAAACATGAATGGACCTAGAAAATACGTCACTTATACAAACCTATATTACATTTCACCAGCGTGCGTGTCTGCATAAGATATTTTATTTAAAGGTAGTTGAAATAATTTTAAAATATAAATTAATTACTAAAAGTAACTCATATTAAATAATTATTTATCAACCATATAATATTAAATTACAGAATAACTTCGTTTAAAATATATAATGTTTAATTTATCTAGATGATGATATAGTATAAAATAATATAATTAGTTTATAAGAATTCCACTACAACCTCATAAGTTATAACCATAATGTTTCCAGTAAATTTGATTATTACAGTATTGTTCATTGATTAAAATTCGTTTAAAAATTAGTTACATTCTATTAATATAATTTATATTTAATAAAGAATAAGCATTATTTTTAAATCAATTATTTATTTTTTTGCTACCTGTAATTATAACTAATACATCATTATTAGTTTGTTATTATTAATAATTTATTGATATATTGATTAATTTTCGATTGGTACACTTTACACACATAATGATCATTTATCAAATTTTATTAATATGTGGTGGCATGATGTTGATCTATTTTTTTTATATAATATATAGATTTACTTTTTATAGTTAACGATTTTTTTTAAAATTGTTAATTTAAGTTACACTATAATAAATGAATACATTTAGGCTGAGTATTTAGGGTCAAAAGAAACCTAGATATTGCAAATGCTGATAATATCGGCTGTGCTATTTCTAAACATCGAATATGTTAATCAGAAATGAAAATTTACATACTCAAGAGTAGCAGAATACGATTCGGAAAAAGAAAAAAATCATTTAGACTATGCGATACGAAATAATTCTTCCTTGATGCGTAGTAGCACTCGCGGACACACGGTATTTTCGTTGACTTCGGTTGGCAGTAATGACGAAAATACTTTTTTTTCTGATGTACCGTTACAAGGTTCTTAAAAGAAGGGGATTAGTGTGACACGGCAGGAGGAAGAGGAAACATAAAAATGTGAACACTGCGGTGAGCCGCGATGCGACCGGTTCGGTATCCTCAGCCGCGACGTGACGACGGCACACCAGTGCCCCGCCAGTGGTGACGTACGCTAAACGTGTCTCTCGTTCTCTACGTTACCTGTATACTGTTTTCGCGAGATCTTCGAACTGCGCACGATCAAAATATTTTTAATAAATCGTCTGTTCGTCGTTTCCTCCATTCCGTTTTGCCCAATAGAACATGTGCCGCCGCCGCCGACGACGACGACGACCACGGTAGATAAACAGATCTGGACTGCTCTTGATACTTTAAGGAGACCGCGGCGTACCGTTCGTCGCCGCGGACCGTCGTTGTCGCCGATCGCACATTTCGTATTCCTCTGCAATGGCTCGTGACGTGATCGCGCACGACGTGGACTTACCGTCGTTGGAGTACGATGACGAGGAGACTGCTTATATGGCCACCGAGACGCCCAGCTTTGACCCTGACGATGCATCGTTGGGCAGCACGTTCGTCATACTCGACGAAGACCCCGTGTCTGACCCCGAAGATGACTACGATGACGTAGCCCCGTTGGTCACCGGTAGCGTAAACCGAACGCTGGCTTCTGCGACCGATCCGTTGTCGTCGAACTCCCCTGCCGCCGGCAAGACAAAGTTTTTGGACAGGATCAAAGAGCACAAAAGCTATCAGAAGTTAGCGAGGATCGTCAAGAAAAAAGGTTCAGTTTTTCGTGTATTTGTGTTGGCAGGGAAGTAGTGGAGAGGTTACGAGGGTCCGTTTTCGTCACGGTCTGTTTGACAGCGTGCGTTCTAATAATGTGTTCTTGACCTCCTTAATGACTTCCGAGGTTCTATTTATTTTTCCGACTTGCTTTCGGGATTTCGTTGATTCCGCCACTTACCGAATTTAATCGACACTTCGCCTAATTATCGAAACATTTTAAACACGTAATGAAAATATCATATACCATATTTACCTATATTCGATAATGCGAAAGATATAACGAAATAATTACACAAAAAAATTGTACAACCAATATTTATATGATAATCTGGATCATATTGTTTCAAAAGTTGGTTGTTAAGATGTTTTATTCCATTTTGGATTAATTTTTTCGTAGTTTACACGATTATGTGTAAATTATCATTGGTATAACGTATACAATAAAATAAGCAGGTTTCAGAACTTGTGAAATTGATGGGTTTTTAAAATTACGTAAATTGGCGGAATCAATAGGTTCCTGTGATTTTTACTTAGTGATTGCGGGTTGTCTAATTTTGCTACCCCACCAGTCATTGCCGTGTCCCATGCTCGACGTTCAATTGAATTTTCAAATTGCAAGTGGATTTTAAATCATCCATACTCCTACACTACGTATTTAATTGTTGTGGTCATGAGTACTTACTTTAAAAAAAGAAACATGAATTCAATGAATTAATTCTCTAATATATCCTGCGATTTATATTTAACAATATTGTCTTTATTTATTATATTTATATAACCATATTCGAAATATTATGTGACCTCGCCATCAGAAGTTTTCGTAGTATGATATGGGACTATAAGTTACTTTTACTGGTGTATAGGATAAATATAGAACGCCTACATGTTCTACTATATTCAATCATTGCGGATGTTACGAATTTCGTCGATTAAATTTGTTCATTTTTCTATTTCGTATAATTTAAAAGTAAAAAGGGTTATTATAAGTAATTTCTATTCTCAACCAATCCTAGTGCATTACTATATATAGCTCAAATCTCGGTGCAGATTAGGTTTATTAAACTGGCACCGGAACGTATATTAGGAAACCCAGGACGCCATAGCGTCTGTTTTCATTGTCCATGTTCTAATTGCCACTGTGTGGGTGTTTGGTACACGCGATCTCTATCTCAAAATTCCAGATTATTTTCTATTCGGTTTCAGTGTACACGTTTTTCCTTAGTATTATTTTAGTAGAAATAATACTAATAAGAAATGTGTATTGTATACAGTATATATTGTACTTGTGTAGTACTTTTATAGTTACTATACACATCATTCCGTCATGTCATTGGGCAACGGTTTAATAAGTATTATGATTTTATAGTCCATCGTTAATAGTAATTATTTTTCCATTATTGAAACGCATAGTTAAGTGACACTTACATTATTATACAAAACATGTTATCAGATCATTCGTTTTTATAATTACCGTTTAATAGTAACATAATTGGAAACATTATTTTTTATAGAATTTCTTGTCGCACTTAAATGTTTGATTTTCATCAATCAATTATCATCATTATTAATGTTTACATTTTATATCCAACCTAGAATTTTTGAAAATTATTAAATAATTTATAGATATTTTTTGCCAAATTATTAAGTTGATATGAATTAATAATATGTAAAATATTTAATTGATTATTATAGTTAGATTACTTACATAATATTTGTAAAATTTAAATACTGAAAAAGTGGTTAGTTTTGTGTTTTATAATGGTTGAAAATTTAACTTTGGTGTTATGTATTATTATTTTTATGAATTGATAAACATCGAGTAAATTTATAAATACATGATTTTTGTAATTATGACAAAATTTTATTTTATAATCGTGTGTTATTTTTTCAAGTTTATTAGTTAATTTAAAAATGTTTTGTTTAAACTCAATTACTTCAATCCAATTTTCTTTTAAAATATAAACAGTTGTCACATTAGTTTGAATTGATACTTTGATATATTATAATTTGAATTTTTAAGTTGTATAAAATTGGCAACAATAATCTATAATTATAATGTAAACATTTAAAAAAAAAAAATTGACTTGATTTATTTATGTTAATTGTTATAAAAATTAAATATTGTTAAACTTATTTGTGCAGTTACCAAAATAATATTGTTAATATATTGTATAACTTAATTTCTATTATTAGAATTCAAAAGGAACAAAAAAAATTATCGAATTTGGTAAACGTAAATAATTATGGTGTTGACTTATAATATTTTGGAACAAACTAGGTGTTTAAACACAATGTGTTTAAAAATGGTTTTTAGGATTTTGAGTTTCAAGAGCATTAAAGTTAGTTTTACTAAGTGTATTTTAATTTTTGAATGCACTTATCTAAAATAGCTTAATGTCAATTTTTTATTTTATTTTTTACAAGCACTTAAATTTTAATGGACTACATTTCTTTCGTTATTGTCGACTAATTGTTATGAAGAATTATTGTAGTTTTTAATTTGAAGGTACTCGTCTTTAAATATTTTAAAAATGTGTATTCGATCAGTTTTACGTATTCTATTCAATATACGCAGTATTAGTATAAAGCAGTGTTTCTTAACCTTTGTATTATGGCGACACACTATTAAAATGTTTTAAACTTTGTGACACACAATAATAAAAATAAGAATAATGGGTACTATAAAATATAAATATACTGTATAGTATGCACCAGTGGCGTATACAAGGGGGTGTTTGGTAGATATGACACCCCCCTTGAGTCGTATCATATATTACATTATTATAGGAATATAGGTAAATCGATAATACAATATGAAATATAAAATAATGCACAATACTAATTATATATATACAGGTTAACATTATTGCGATTGCGACAATACGTGACGAAAATTATTCGTTTACGTTTTCGTGCAACACAAAACGTTTAATAATAATAATAGGTATTGTAGCATCGAATACTGATATTCAAATAGTCAAATATTCGAATAATTTATGGTAAAGCTATCCGAATTCGAATATACATTACATCTCTATTACAGACATTATGTATACATATTAATTAATTACAATAAAAGTTTTAGTTTTACGTATTATATATAATATTTAATAATTATAATTAACACCCCCTTCAGAAAATCCTAGCTACGCCTCTGGTATGCACTGTTTAAAAATAAATATAGATAAACCAACGTTTATCAATTAGAATTATGATAATGATAACATTTATTTAATGTCGATAGCTGATAATCTATTTTTATTCATCATAGAAATCATATCAAATACCCATTAATTTTTTTAAATAATATCAACAATTTTCATACATTTTGTATCATTCAATATTAGTACTTCACGCGACACATTTGGACTTAACCGGCGACACATCAGTGTGTCGCGATACACCGGTTGAGAAATATTGGTATATAGTAATGATTTTCAAATCGGTATTCGTACCGAATAGATTTTATACTATATTAAAATTAAGAGTCGATAATTGTAACTTATGTGTTAAATCATTATATGCTATATTTATTAATATATTATTATCATTAAACAGTAGCGTAGTGAAATTTGATGCACTGTATATATTTTAGAACCAATCCCATCTCTTTCCTAAAGATAATACTTCTGTGAAATCTCTTAAGGATGTGTATTTTATACATATCGTGTATTATTATATATAATGGATGAACTCAAATTGTACGTTCTGCATCATTATAAAAAAATATATATTTGAACTGGACGTATCATCTTCTATTCGTGGATGATAACAACAATCGTGTGTCTGTTGGAAACATTGTTATATGTGTATCTATAACCTAACGTTCAGCTAATTCGAGTTGAATTTTAGAGGTGAAGTGGGTTTTCATTACTTGTAAACACCGTAGACCGTGTACTTTACCTATTGTATTCGTCATCGCCTATTATGTTTATGATATTGTTCATTGTTTTCATTAAGTACTAACTAGGTATTAACTTTACTCTTTAGTCAATTGATGTGTGCTTCGGTGCAAAGTTTAGTTTTGTGTTTTAATATCTTCTAAAAACATGCGTGCTATAATATACAAATATATCAACAATACCAATTACAATTTATAATAATTTAAATACAATGTGCACATTTTGCCTAGCTCATTTCAATAAAATGAAAAAAAAAACATGTGCACGGTGATTTTTTTATAGTGATAATAATTATGTGTATACGGTGTTTATTTTAACGAATTGTGCACTAGAAAATAATAATGGGTTGAACGGTTCATGTGACTTAAAGTCTTAAACGTGTATTTTTTACTATTTTATGTTGATTATTTTTCGAACAGTAATATTTAGGTTTCAGAATTCATCGCGTTTTTAGTGAACTTTTTACACGGGACGTCTAGTACTCTACACATCTGGCGTACATTAATTTCACGCACGACTATATTGAGTTATGGACCAACGTTTAGCAAATAAATGTAATAAATAATTATCCTGGTTGACAAATTTATTGTACATGCAATTCCGTCTATCAGTTATCTACGTTTGCACTTAAATAGCAAAACATATACATTTGATGTTAACGTGTTTTAGTTTTCAAAGTAGAGCACCTGACGCGAAATAAAAAATTGTAGCTTTTTTCTTTTCTTTCGATCTAGGTCATGTATTTTCCCAAACCATTAATTCTCAATCCGTTAATATTTTTTATCGACAATTTCATTAGATATATTTAAGTTTATAGGACATAAGTTTATAAGTTATTTTTTTTAATGTTTTTTGAATGTGTGTTTTATTTCTAGGCGAAGAACCTCCAGTAATCATGTCACCAGATTCGGGAATCAATGAATTGCAAGGTCTTAGCCTTGAAGAGCAAGAAAAACAGAAAGAAGAATGGCAACAAGAGTTAAACAAGGTAGAAGAAGAAATCAAGACGCTGCGTGAAGTACTTGGATCCAAGGTGAAAGCATCCCAAGAGCTTAGGCGCAAGCTCGGCTATACTGTTTGGCAAGAGATTAGTGAAGATGTGTCGCAAAGCTTAAGAAACGTGAAAGAGTCTAATGTGTAAGTCCATGTGATGTCTTTTATTTCTTATGGTGTAATTTCAGTTTATTTTGCTAGCTTTTGGTTTATTATTTTTTATTATTACTTTTTTTTTCATTATTTTATTATTATTTTTATTATATTATATAGTTACCAAAATGTAGAAGACAAATTTACACAAATTGGAAAAGCTGTTGTTGACGCACCTATGTAAGTCTTCATTACAAAGACAAGCATTTCACTTTAAAAACGTTTATTTTATGTATCAGTGTTTTATTAATCAAAAATATGCAAGTTATCTTCAACACAGCTTATAATAAATTGTTGCGATTCAAATTTGATAAAATAAGAGCTAGTCATCAGGAAAATTTTTGTTTTTTTATACTTGTGATATTATCTTGTATTATTACGTATATATGTCTATATATATCACACTACTAAAAAATATGATTTAATAATAAATTCTCGTTTGATTGGCCATAATAATTTATAATTATTTATAACAACATAATTTGTTTATTGCCTATTCGATATTTAAACTATGATCTTTATTGTATGTGTCTTTTGCCATACTTTAATTTGATTAACTTTATTGCATCAATAGACAATACAATGTAAATCAAATACAGTTTTATATACAACTATTATTATTTTAAATTCTATATTTATTACTTATTATTTATAATTCTCTAAAATAAAAAATATTTAAAAAAAAAATAATGATATTATTTTTATATAAAACAACCATATATTACATATTCATTTAAGAGATATCATGCGTACTTACTTATATTACATTAATGTAATAGTCTTTATTTTTGAATCGCACACATTTATTTTATTTACAAACATTTGAATTTTGTAATAACATGTTACATAATTTGGCAATGACAATATTATTGTATTTTCTTTACCAGATTCAACTTTTCTTTACCAGACTCCGGCGACATGCGTACCCCAACCAGGAATATGGTTCTTAAACACTGGTATATAAAATCTACGTGTACATTCTATATGCATCTACTTTAGAATATTCAGGAAAAATAAAATTATGCTTCTTTTCACAATTGTTAAATTGCTTTTAAATAAGTCTTATTTGCACTTTTGCTTGATCTTCTAATTAGTTATTTCTATTTTTAAAACACTTAGTTACCAAAATGTAGAAGGCAAGGTTAAGCAGTTTGGAACAGCAGTTGCCGAAACGCCTATGTAAGTTTGCTTTTTTTCTCTGTAATACAGTAGTGCATGATCACCAGAATACATGCATGCTAACATGCTGTTTACTTATGTTTTGTAATTTAATGTGTTAGTCAATTTTGTGTTGAAATTCATATAATATGTGTTATCAGTAAATTATGATTTACATAATTTGCTGTTAAGCTGTAGGTATTTTATATACTTATGAGTATATATTATTGTGTATGTGATGTGGTAAAAAATTAAAAAACTTATTTATAATCACAATTTTATACTAAAAAAAAAAAACTGAAAAAACTTTGGTTTTTTTTTCATTTTATTATTCATTATATTTTATTATGTACACTCCACTTTCAAAATTAAACTATTTGTAATTCATAGTTTGTAGTTTTAATATTGTGGTAAAAATAACAATGATAAATATTTAAATTCCAGAATTCTTTTCAATGCCTCTGTATTTGTTTTTACATTCTGATAAATGTGTTTTCTCAGTTTCATAGTTAAATAGAGAGATAATATAACAAATATTATTGGCTCATATTCTTAAATGCAAATAAAAAAATAGTTTCAAATTTATTTTAGTATACTAGTTATTACATTGATTTTACTTTTTATATTGACTATTATGAGAATGCTTTCATAACGCATGTAAAATTCTCAAATAAATAATCGCTTAATTGACAGCTTTTTTTTTGCCATTATTTCTTGAAAGTATATAGATGTGAACTATTTTATAAAAATATTTGTGTATTAGAAAATATATTTCTGAGACTAGTATTTATTAAGTACTCTGAATTTTTTTAAAAATATTTTTTACAAAACTAGTCATAAATTATAATACTAACAGAAAATTATCAATTTTTATTTTCTATAAAATATTAATATTTGTTTTCATAAATATGAAAACATTTCGTTTGTGACTTACAAATTTTAATTTTTATTTTTAGTTTCAATTTATCATTTCGTCATTGACCTTTTATTTTTATAAATTAAAAATACATTTACTAAGTATAATTCATCATTACTTTCATTCATAAGTCTAATGAAATGGTTATTTTTTTAACTTCTTGGTTGCATTACTAATACTTTAACTTTTGGTATAAGATTTATATAACAACTTTTATGAGCTTCTTAAATATGTACTTACAAATTATTTGAAATTTTTTTTTTATTGATTACAGACGCACACATTTTTTTTTTCTGAAGGTTATTTCTTTTTAATGTTATTTTTTCATAAATACATTTTCAAATTGCATTTAATTTTAATTTTGGATAAATAATGATCTCATAATGTACCTATTAACACATAAAAGAACAATGTGTTATATAAATTAATGCATTAATACAAATTTTAACACTCCTATGTGCACTGCTAGTAGTTGATTAATACATGTATATTTTTTTTATAATATATAATTGTTTATATTTGAATAGTTATCAAAAAACTGAATCCGTTGTTAAAACAACTGCAGAAAAAGCTACAACAATATTTGGAGGATTTGGTAGTGGTCTAACTACTAAGCTCGGTCAAATCAAAAATTCTGAATCATTTCGTTCTTTCGAAGAAAAAGTGGGCTCAGCCTTGGAAAATGTTAAGGTACATACTATATTTTTAGTTATGATAATTTATATTAAACTATTGTACATTTTGATATTTAGACAAAAGTGGCATCTAGATCCAACTCAATGCAAAACTTTGATGAGATATTGGAGGAAGAAACTCGTTTGGCTAATGAAGAAAAACGTACACGAGAAGAACGTGAGGCAGCAACAAAATAAATATTTACTTTTGTAAACTATCTCTTTCTTGTACTTGAATATTTATTAAAATCGTGCAATTTTGGTCACTTAAGTACAGAATTTACCTTAAACTAGGCACTAACTATTCAATTTCTCACAAAAATATCTTTCTCCTGAATTTAGTGTTGAATTAAATGTATTTTTTATTATAATTACAATATATAAAATATTTTTTTTCCTAATGTTAATTTTTGATTTGTGATTTTTAGTAGTTATTATTATTCTTATTTATATATATAAATATAAATATTTATTTTTTTTTTTGTAAAAATATTAATTATGAGCGCTTTAATTTGAAAATATTAATGATATAACTGTGCCTATACAACCATATTATACACCATACACTTGCAAATATTCCAATTGTAATTAAATTAGATATTTTTTTAGTTAAGTATTTATATAAATTAAACTACATTAATTACTCTGTATACAAAAGCATTAATCTTTTAATTATTACTCTTCAGGAAACTAATATTAATTTCTCAGACAATGTAAAATGTTTTTCTTTAATATGTTAAAACTCTATTAAATTTTTAATTCAACAAGTCTTTAAGTATTCATGCAGTATTCATTTTGTATTATAATAATGTATTAACATTGCTTCTATCGATTTTCACTCAAGTACTTTCATTCAAGTGGTTGCTATATAATTACTGTTTTAAATCAAATGCTTTTAGAATATATTAAAACATAATATTTTTTAATTTGAAATCATAGATTATTAGTGGTGTAGTTGCAAGAGGAGTAGGGTAAAAAGTTGTTATTTTTTCTCTAAATCATAATGCAGTACGAAATATAGAATAAAATATTTTTTTTTATATATTATTTTATAAATCTAAATATAATTTTATCGAAAAACCATGCCTGTAGTAATTACATTTTAGAATATTATTGACAGTTAGATAGACATTATATTATAACAATAACAATATTAGTAGTTATATTGGACTCAGGAAATAAAAATAAAAAATAATTTTACCTACCAATTATTTTGGATCTAAAACTTCCAAAAATATTTTTAACATAAGATACGTGTGTCAATTTTAAAATCGTTTAATTGTAATAAAATTTTTATACCTGTTACTTTCGGTTTTAGTGTTTGATTTTTTTTATAGTCAAAATAAAATTGAATAAGGAGATGGGATCGGTTAATGATTTATTTTTTTTCACACCATTGGTCATTAATAGTGGGTCGTACCCAAAAATATATTGAGATGAAAACAATTAAAAAAGTTTTAAATCCAAATAATTCAATATATTTTTAAACAGAAAATTGATGTGCATATTAATCATTTTCAAGCTCAATGAGGGCACTTAACTTATAGCTAACTAAGGATACATTTCTGCATTAGCACACAGTTAAATTTAATGTTATGGATTAATTTATTAATATTAAATTATTAATTATGTTAATATAGTGTAATGGTTTTAAAGAGTTTAATGATTTGCGCAAGATTCTTATCATTTATTTCAAATTAAATATCATTAGGGCTAGGATTTATATGTAATACATTTTTTTATAATATGTAGGCATTTTATTTACCAAAATATCAAAAAAAAAAAATTTTCATTATTTCTAGAATTATTATTTATCATAAATTGATATTATTACATTAAATATTAATTTATACTAATATGGTTTATAAGTCGTACTAATGAAATAAAATACTTCTGTATTGTCAGGGACGAACCAAAAGGGGGTGTCACCCCCCCACCACTCGGCTATATTTGATTTTCAGTCGGCAAAATGAAATTTATTTTCACCTGATTAAACCATTTTTTTTAAGACGAGGAAAGGAAAATTATATAAATTAAATACATTGTTAATATTGTTTTGACTCAATATTTTCGTAATGGGTTATGGAGCGGATTAGCAAAAGTATAGCGAGACTGCGAGAATCGGCAGCCGGCATAAGATAAAAACCTATATAATATATATAACACTTATAATTATAACGATATATTAATAATATATCATGCATATATACAGTAAAAAATCGATAAACCGTATATTTCTGTCATCCGTTATCGCATTTAAGCAATGCTGGCATGCGGTGACAGTTGTGGCGGGCAATATCCTGAGCTTTCTTACAAAGCATTCAATGTTTTGCTACCGTTTACGAGCTCTGTATTAGTGGAAAGAGCCTTTTCGTCATACACATTTATTAAAAATAAGTACCGCAATAGACTCTCGGTGAGTTCAGACTTACGAGTTTATTTATCATCCGTGGAGCCAGTTTTCAAAAAGTTAAGTGCTAGCAAACAAGCTCAAGGATCACATTAAAATAACATTTTTAACTCAATATTATTTTTTATTATTTATTTTTATACATACAATGTATTGCGCATGTTGATCAAAATAAATCAAATTTTTCATTATTAAACTTATATCGTAAATTCATATTTATTTTATGTAAAAATATATGACAAATTGGCATTTGGGGGTCCGTAAAGTAGTAGTGAGTGGTCAAGGGGTGCGTGAATGAAAAAAGGTTGAGAACCGCTGGTCTACTTGATTATCTAAATCATAACGATCTATTAATTTTTATATTTTAGAATATAATATCATTTTTATGGACTTCTCGTTCTAAAATTTATATATAAATTAATGTCTGCATACCTATTAATAACACATCGCGTCATTCAAACATATAAATATCAATGATAATTTTTTCCAAACTAATCTGAACAGTTTACCCGCGGATTACTGTTTTCGATTATGAGATAAGGAATTTTATTATTGTCGATTATGCGAGTGTTTTATTTAATCGCGTGCGTTTTAAAGCGTTAAAAAGTTTTAAAGTTTTTTCGGTTTTAGTTATGAGTCTTACAACATCAGTCGTTACACTTGGACGAAAGGAAATTAAAACTTTTGTGATGTAATGTAAATAAGAAAACCCGGTAAGTTTTACCTTTTTTCTTTCCACTGTACATGTTTTTGTTGCGAACATACATAAATGTAGGTTCTTACGACTACCAATACATGGGGGTCCACATAAATAACATTGGGGCTTGCATTATAATATACATTCTTACACACGCAAATACAAATTACACTATATGTGAAAAAACCATGATATCTACGTGGTGGACATACATAATATATGCCCTTGTGAATATCCAAATCTTACAGAGGAGTCACATACAAATAACTTGTTGCAAAAACCGAAACAACATCAGGACGTGCCTTCACAAGGTTATAAAATTGGCATCGTTTGCAAATGACCGAAACAATATAAAAAACATGTCCTTAAAGGTATTATAAAATTGGCTAGTAGATACTTTTCGAAGGGGGTCTAGAATATTAATATTAACATCAAACTATGTCCGGGTCAAATATCCCATAGGAACGGAGTATATAAGGTAGTCCCGAACAGACTATTAGGCAGATGTGGTTTACAGGTACAGTCGCAAGCACCTTCACGCCACATTATTTCTTAAATTAATGTTTTGTACTAAATAAACAGTTTGAATTACAATTGAGTATTTTTATTGAAGTATTATCCTTAAAAAACTTAACCATCAATTACGATTGAGCGACGGCACGCAACATTTTTAAAATTTGTTAATTACATAAATTTTGATTCGTCTTACCAAAAAATAAAAAGCAACGTGATTGACATCAATGATATTTTTATAAACACAATCATATATAAAAAGTATATATACAATACTTTTTAGAATTCTATTGTTCACACCTATGTTTATTAGGTCTATCGTTCGACTATGATTTAATCTTTTTCGTACTACATTACATTTTACATTAATTACTATTCGTTTTTCCAAAATATATTAGAACAGAGCTTTTGTTTTACCGAGAAATATGAGGAGATATAGGTAATCGGATGTTTTCATTACATACACCTGCAATGTATGTAATATATTATATTATATATTGATACAATATATAAAATATATTTTGTTTACCAGATTGATTTGATGTGAAATGCTGTAATGATATTATAAAATGCACACACAGCTATAAAATAATGAAAAAAACATGGTATGTATTATATTTTAAAATAATATATTTGTTTTAGTAAATGAGTCTTATAGTATTTTTTTGTAAATCATTTTTTTATTACTTCAAACAGTTATAAAAATTAAAAATCAAATTATATGCAATACTTTTTATAATTCTATTGTTGACGCATATGTTTATTAAGTCCATCGTTCAACTGTGAATCAATTGTGATTTTTACCTTCTACATACTATATGCTTTAAATGTGTTTTTAATATATTTATTAATTACACATTTATTTTTATATGTTTTACTAAAAAATATTAGAAGATATCTATTGGATGTTTTCATTGATATTGTGTCTTTAAATCATGTTATATTATTATATATTTGTTTTAAATACATGCGATTTGATTTATATTTCCACATTATATAGGGAGATGTCTGTTGTATGTTTTCATTAAACATTTTCTTTGTTAAGGAATAATGCAGTTACTACTTCGGTACTAATGATTAACTAATAAAAACAAACACAACTATAAACTAAAGAAAACATGGTATGCCATGCATTTTTCAACCCATTCTTTCAATTATGTATGTTGAATGTTATATTTTCGGTTTGTATAAATAAGTCTTATAGTATCAGTTTTTACACTTGGATGAAAGGAAATGAATATAAATTAAAACTTATGTGATATTATAAGGACAATAGTAAGCCCAGTATGTTTTAACATTAATGTAAATTATTTTCTTTGTACAATATATGCTTTGAATGTGTTTTTAAAACTTATTAATTACATTCATTTTTTTTTTTTTGATTTACCATAAAATATTAGGGGAGAGCTATGGGATGTTTTCATTGAGAAGGTATGTGATTGACTTTACTGATATTTCTATTATCACAAACAGTTGTAAAATTTAAAAATCAAATTATACGCAACACTTTTTATAATTCTTTTGTTCACATTTGTTAATTAAGTCTATCGTTTGACTATGTTTTAATTGTATCTTTAAATTATGTTAAATAATTATAAATTTGTTTTTTAAATATGTTAAATTCATTCAATTTGATTTATTTTTTAAAATAATATAGGGAGATAGTGTTAGTGCGATAGATGTGTGTCAATGGTTCTATTGATACTATTCAAATCAAACCCAGCTATAAAATAAAGAAATCGTGGTACGGATTACAATTTTTAACACTCTTATTCCATTATGATACAAGTGTTTTTTTTTAAAATATCTTGAACTCTATTGTTTACTTGGCTCATAGTGATTCGCAGAGTAATTAATTAACAAGTGCTCGAACATGAGTGTAGTACTGTTGCCCTTTGTTCGACTATGATTCATTTGTGTCTTTAAATTATGTTAAATACATTCAATTTGATTAATTTTTCCAAATAATATAGGGAGAGAGCTGTTGAATGTTTTCGTTGCACTTTATTCTTTGGAATGGAATAGAATTCAACGTGTTATTGGTGCTAATGATAATATTCAAATCAAACCCAGCTATAAAATAAAGAAAACTTGGTATGTATTTATACAATATTTAACGCTCAAGTTCCTCTATGATATAAATGTCTTTGTAAAATATCTTAAACTATATATTGTTTATTTTGCTCATAGTGGGTTGCAGATTAATGAATTAACGAATGCTCAAACACCAGTGTAGTACTGTTGTACCCAAGAGCTTGGTTATTATTACACTTTTCTCCTAATATTATAAGAAAAATCTTGGTATAGTTTATTTATTTAAACAGTATCATACTGAAACGTTTTATATAATGATAAAAATATTTTCTTTGATTATGTTATGTTTCATATTTGTATACATTATCTTCACATATTTTTTAAGCTTAAAAGCACAAATATGCTATGATTACAAGAAACTTCCACACTCTGTCTTTCATAAATTATTTATGTTTTTATATATTCATTCTGTATATTTTTTTTAAATAATGTCGATGAGTACTTTTATGTTCTCTGAATGTGAGAAAAGGGTTGGCGACCTCCACGTGGTCTTTCTTGGATGCGTTTTTCACTGAGAATGATTATAGTGTAAAACGTAACTAACGCCAACATTGATGTATACACACCTATAATAGAGTATTCACTTATCGCTCAAATTTTTTTTTTTCAGTTAACATCAAGGAAGGTCTTACTCCATTTTTATAGTTTTTTGTCTACAGACTCGCTTTGTATATATATTCATTATTTATTATTGAAAAAATACTTTTTATGCATTAGGTCTTCTTACTTTGAACCGACTGTACTGTATTTGAAAGTTTTTTTACTTTGATAATTTCATATCTAAAAAAAATGTCAAGTTCTCTAGCGTTTATGATACTTATAAATTGTTGTATCTAAGATACTTTTCATAAAAGTGTCCCTTCGGTAAGTTAAGTTATGGAAGAAGACACATATAATGCTTTTGTAATCATAAATGTATATTTTATTCTGTAATTGAAATATCATAATCTATATACATATTTATACCACTTTTTAAATTCTATTCCATTCTATTAAATATAGTGATAATTTACATATTTAACTATTGTTGAGAAGACACTTAACTTTGCAACAGTACTATTATTATGTTTGATTATTTTCAATTACACTGCGATTTGCCCTCTGCTATTTCATTTTTTTTATGTACATATAAATGTTTTGTATATTTATTATATTGGTTTTTATACGTTTGACACCATGCATCGATTGTCACTATAGTACCGTAAGTATGGTGCCGTAGTATTTTTAAGAAAACAATTAGGTGGGGGTAACCTAGATAGCGAACGCCTTTGACGCCGAAGGCGTATCAATTTTCCACCCGTATATTATCAAAAGTTAATAATTATCACAAGTAGTAACCGTGGTAGTATTGCATGATACATTATACCTACATAATAATGTTTTGAATATTATTAATTAAATTGATTAATATATAAATATTATACGAATTTCACCCGAAGCGAGGCACACAGAAGCTAGTGTGTTATTAATATTATAAATATATATGATAGTACTATCTTAAACCGTGGTACACCATGAAGACTAGAGATATAGTTTTCATGGTATATACATTAGAGATTATCTATAACGAAAACAAAATATTGATAACGAGTTGTATACAAAGATTTTTATTGTTTATTTTTTTTTCAAACATTTATTGATTCATTTTAAGTGAAAGAAATATGCCAATATGTTTGTCATGTTAGCTGAAGTAATAACAAAATTATCAAACTTACCTTTTTTTGGCCACCGATGTTATCCTCCATTGTTGTAGAAAACGTATACGATTAAATCAGATGCCCGATTAAGTCAGGTAAATATCTTAATAACTTCCATAGTTTATAATATTGTTAATCCTATGTAATCATATTAATTTTATGTATACAGAGTTTGTTGAGCTATTTTAAAAGCTCGTTAGATTATGAGAAAAAATCTGGATAATGTAGTACTATTTCATATTTATTATTTATAAGATTTTTTTATAACATTTATTTATAGAACACTTAATTATTTATACATATTATATGACTATTAAACTTGGCTAACTAATCATAATAATTAGGTCTAATTTTAAACTATCATAGTTCATTCATTGATTATTTAATATCTCTACCTTTATATTTAAGCATTATTAATTTTCTTAATTTCATTAATTCAAAAATGTTGGATCCTAAGAATAATTTTACTAGGACTTTACATGTCCTCTTATGTTATTTTTTATTCTATTTGTGTTCATATTGTTTTTTTTAGACATAAATTTAGGTTTTAGATAAATAGTAGATACTAAATTGATTGTAGGTACAAAAGTAAAGTAACATTTTTATTTATCTGTCAAATAAACATTTAAATAAGTTATTTTATAATTTGTATTTTTAAAGTGTCGAATGATCAATTATTAATACTTTTCTAGTTATAATATAAAAGGTATTATTTAGTTTTTGTTAAACATTTTTTAAAGTTTAGTGTTTGTTTTTACAACTAAGTTTTTAAATGAGTTGATGTAAAATTTTATTTAATTAATAACTATTGATACTTTTATTCATATCAATATTTGTATGAAATTTTATTGTTTTAGCTATTTGAACACGGAGGATACATTGGTGGCCATAATAAATAATACTTGAACTATAATAATGATCGGACATTTTGAAGAAACATCCGCTGTTGATGATGAACCCTTTAAAAATCCAAGTGAATCCATGCTTTTTGAAATGGTCGAAGGTGATGAAAACAGTATTCTTCCAAAAGAATATGTATGCAATATGTGTGAAATTGTATACTACAAACGTTCACAAATAATAAGACATTTAAAACAGTCTTGTTTTATAAGAAAAAACTCTACCGTTACTGATAAAGTAGTTCCTAATATTAAAAAATTAGCTGGTCTATCAAAAAACAAACAATCATATTTTCAGTATAAACTTTACCAATGCGAATTATGTTCAAAATATTTTCCGAACAAGACTAAATTAACTCAACACACTCGGACTCATAGTGCGAAAAAAGAATTTAGTTGCGAAATTTGCCATAGAGTATTTTCTAACTCTTACAGTTTGAAAAGTCATGGAAAAACTCATTCCGGAGAAAAGCCATATACTTGTGATATCTGTCAAAAATCTTTTGCTCATTCACATATTTTAACAAATCATAAAAGAACCCATTCCGGAGAAAAGCCATTTAAATGTGAATTTTGTCAAAAATATTTTGCTACATCTGGAACTTTAGTGGCACATAAACGTACACACACAGGTGAACAACCGTACAGATGCAATGTATGTCAAAAAACATTTTCTTTATCCAGCAGCTTGAGTTCACATAAAAGAACACATACTGGCGATAGACCACACAAATGTAATTTTTGTCCAAAAGCATTTGCCAAAAGTGGTGACTTGGAGAGACATAAACGAATACATACTGGTGTTAAACCATTTCATTGCGATACCTGCGATAAGTCTTTTACACAGTCATCTGGCTTAATAATACACAAAAGAATCCACACCGGAGAAAGGCCATTTGCTTGTGATTCGTGCGAACGATCATTTACCAATTCAGCCAGTTTGATAGCGCACAAGCGAACTCATACAGGAGAAATACCTTATATGCCTCTACATATTCTCAACGCACAGCAGGTGTCTAACAGTCAAAATACTGTAAAAAAGAATGAGTTTTCAGAAACATCGTCAACCACAGGTTTATGGGACACCAGTATTCCTACCCCAGCTGTGGGAGATTTGAGTTATAGCTGGTCTAACTATTGGTTTCAAAGCGAAACGGATCCTAGCAGCATTAAAAATCCAATTAATAGTACCGGTGAACCACCGTATGCACAACCCGTGTATAACGATAGAAAGAATATGAATGGTGCGAGCTTGGTAAACGGAGTAAATACGACTTCGGTAGGAAACGAAGTACCCATTAAAAGACCGGAAGGCCGATGGTTGGACTGTGACGTTTGCCATAAGACATTTCCGTATTCGTCCAGGCATAAGTTAATCGAACACCAACGGACTCATACGCGTGAAAAACCGTTCAAATGCCTTCAATGTCAAAAATCTTTCTCCTTGTCCAGTACTTTGATCGTACACAAAAGAATGCATACCGGAGAAAGACCGTTCAAATGCGATTTATGCCCGAAAGCGTTTGCTCAAAAGTCAAAATTGAATATCCATAAACGGGTTCACACCGGGGCGAAGCCGTTTTGTTGCGATTGGTGTCAGAAATGTTTTGCTCACTCGTCGAATCTGGCGGATCACAAGAAAACGCACACCGACCAGAAACCGTACGAGTGCGATATCTGCCACAAGATGTTCACGCTCGCCAACAGCTTACGGAAACACAAAGTGCTGCACACCGGATACAAACCGTACGTGTGCGACGTTTGTGAAAAAGCGTTCGCGAAAAAGGCCACCTTGGATCGTCACAAGGGTACGCACGACGGTGTGCCCGAATGGACCAAACCGTTTGCGCACGCGGCGAGGGAAAAGCGAACGGACACCAGTGACAAGCCGTTCAAGTGTCGTATTTGTTTCAAATCGTTTGCCAGCCTGAACGGGATGACCAGACACGTGGCCAAACACGGCGAACAAAATCGTTTTCAGTGCGAAGTGTGCCGCAAGTGTTTCACCGGGCCGTCGGTGCTGGTCAGGCACCGACGAATACACACGGGAGAAAAACCGTTTCAGTGCGATTATTGTCCCAAGGCGTTCGCTTACTCGTCGATACTCGTAACTCACAAACGCACTCACACCGGAGAAAAACCGTACCGGTGCGATCTGTGCCCCAAAGCGTACACGCAGTCGTCCAGTTTGATCGTGCACAAGCGAACCCATTGGGACGAACAACGGACGATCGATGGCGACGGACGACGACGGCAACCGGTGGAGCAGCAGCAGCCAGTGAACGATCCGAGGACGATCGGATACGAGATGGCCGACGACTACGCGGACAATTGGTCCGGTTGGTATTCCGCGGAACCCGACATGTCCTTTATCGCTGACGAACTGCCCCAAATCGTGCAGAACCCTTCCGCCGAGGAGGACCCCTTGTCGCGCGTTAGAGGAGCAGTGCACACCGTCGCGTCCTTCCATCATCATCAGATGGTCGATGGTGCGCGGCACGACCCGACTACGGACGTCGCGGCTATGCCGCCGCAAAGGTTCAAGTGCGCCAAGTGCAAGGAGTCGTTCGACGAGAGCTCGCTGCTGTTGAAACACATCAGAAAGACGCACAGGCCGGTGGCGGGCAAAGTGAACAAGACGAGCACCGGGCCGCCGGGGTGCGGCGATGCGGGGAACGGCGCGGCGACGAACCGCAAGAAGAAACGCGGCGAACGGCAACGGCTGGAGTGTGACATTTGCCAAAGGCCGTTCCACGACTCGTACAAGCTGAAGGTGCACCGGCGGACGCACACGCGCGAGAAACCGTTCAAGTGCGACGCGTGCGACAAGTCGTTCATCGACTCGTGCAACCTGAAGGAGCACCAGAAGGTGCACACAGGCGAGAAACTTTTCGAGTGCGACATCTGTCAGAAGACGTTCTTGCAGCTGGGCACGTTGACCACGCACAGGCGCACGCACACGGGCGAGAAACCGTACAGCTGCGACGTTTGCCGCATGCCGTTCGCCCTGTTGAGCAGCATGAAAACGCACAAGCGGCGCGCGCACACCGGTGAAAAGCCGCACAAATGCGATTTCTGTCCGAAAGCGTTCGTCAAGCGCAACGACATGGTCCGTCACCGGCGCACGCACACCGGCGAACGTCCGTTCGTATGCGACGTGTGTCACCAGTCCTTCACGCAGTCGTACGTACTGGTGTTGCACAAGAGGAACCACCACGCGGGCGGCGACAACGCTTTCGCGAGCAATCGCCGCACCGCGGGGCCGCCACCGTCCGTGGCCGCGACAAAGCACCATGCCGGCGCGGTGCCCAAAGAAAAACCGTTCGGCTGCGACGTTTGCCCGAAATCGTTCGTCAGCCAGTCGACGTTGAACACGCACAGGCGAAGGCATACCGGCGAAAAACCGTTCCGGTGCGACGCGTGCCAAAAAACGTTCACCCAATCGTCCGGTCTGATCGAGCACAAAGCAGCGCATCACCGTCCTAACCTCGTGGTCGAGTCGTTCGAACAGCACGACGTCACGCAACAACAACAGCAGCAGCAGCAACACCAGCAGTACGTAGGCACTACCAACGTGTACGTCGCTCCCTCGCACAGGGCACCCCAGTACACGGGGGACAGGGCTTGCGAATATGGCATTTGTCAGTCGACCGCTTATAGCCAACCGCCCCCTGTCGGTTCTATGCGCTTCGATCAGCCCATGATATTACACAATAGGAACATGTATTACGCATAAATCGTATACAATCATTTATTTGCTACAGCGTTGTTGATATATTTTATTTCGACCCCCCTCCCTTATGTTTACCAACCAATATAATATTTATTTATTTATATATTTATGATTTTATTTCGCATACTTTTGTATACAGACTACACGTGTATTTAATTTAAAGTGATTGTTTTATTAGTTTAAAAAAATGTATATTTTAATATTTGAAATTCAATTCGTAGTTATTTATACTGTACGATGCGTACAATGTTTACCTTCTTCGTCTGTAATTAATTTTCAAACGGTAATGTCAAATATTTGTTAACTTTGGGAATAATACTTAAAACAATGTGATAATACAATATAAATGATTTAGCTTGAGAAACAAATTATAATACAATTTCGTCACTAGCATGCATTATTCAATTTGCGAGTATTATAATTACGGCTAGGATTTATATGAATTCGCATGTTTTTTCCTTAAGTTCAAATTGATTGGTTTTCCTTGTGTCCACGATATGGCCTATTGTTGATTAAATATAACCATTTTTTTAATTATTTTATTATTGATAACTTCTAGTATATAACTATGATAGCTCAACGATTACACATTAGTACATAAAGATGGCCAGCTTCCAAGATAAAAGAGATTACAATTTTTATAGCAGTTTTAGATTTAGTATTCAGTATGGAGTGGATATTAAAACAAATATTGAGAATTTTAAAAAAATTGATTAAGATTTGGCGTTTAGCCTGAAGAGCAGAGCAATCAAATAAAATAAGTGGAAGAACATAACGCATATAATTGCATACTTATAGATTTTTGAAAATCTTGTTAATTTCGCTAATTTTTAAACTCAAATTTTCAAGTTTTTATAATAATGCTAATTTTAAATAGTATGTATTTAATGAACGTTTATTTTTCGAATCGTCAATATACTAAATATCAGTGGCGTGATTGAGAATGTTTCATGGGGAGGGATCATAATAAATTTATATGGCAAACTTGTGGCGAGAAATGCCCCCCCCCCACACCTCCTTTATCTAAAGTTATCGAAAGTAAACATGGAAACAAAACACTAATACTAAACAACTTTAAATTTTTAATTGGATCAGTTAACAAATATCAACTAATTTTTTATAAAGTTAAAATTTACATAACTAAGGTATCGTATACCAAAATATATAATTTCTTTCACATTTTTATATCTGACCACTTAAAATTATACCATAATAATTATTATACCGTTTTTTTTCACCTTTTTATACCTAAAAATTTTTTTAAATAAAATTTAACATTTTCCAACCTATGTTGTATATATATTGCCTTTATAGTATAAAATTATTACTGTACTATAGCTTTTAATTTAAGCGTAGTATACAATTGTTTTGGTAAAAACGTGGTCAATAACTCATTATGTGGAAACGGGCATCGACCAATTTAACATAGGTACTTTCAAAAATTTCAAAATGGATTGAAAATCTTTCTTCTAGTTGTTGTATAAAAAAAGTCCAAGTTAAGTATAAATACTGACACTTTTTAGTATTCTTCAACACTTAAATTAGGATCTAGGTCTGCTCGATTTACTTGTCGTTTAGATATTCTTTTAGTTCTCAAGTTTATATCTATAATTACTGACATCCCTATTACAAACAGGGCCGGATCTAGGGGGGGGGGGAAGTCGGGGATTTATCCCCGGGCGCATAATTATCGTTGGCGTATTTTAAAGGTTATAAATTTAAAATTAACTTTGAAACAAAAGTCATAACTACAAAATAATATTTTAATATAAATTTGTAATAATGGTTATGTGAATAAAATAGTATTATTTTTATTTTTAATTTTAACAAGTAACAACAATATTATTTTAAAATGGACTAATAGGTACGTATTGCAGTGGAAATACTGGAAATACCCGTCTGCGACTGTTAGCGGGATTGACTGTCGCTGCAGATCTAAAATTAAATATTGTTCAAATAAGTGGGAAATTAAGGTATTGTTGAATTTGATTTTATTATCATTGTATTGTGATTCATCGATTCGTGTGTCCGTGTTAATGTGTTATATTAATAATATAGCCTGTATTAGTTTATAAAATCAGTTTATTTTATACATTTATGCTAAATTCCATTTTAATTTTGACACCGCTACAGTTAAAATACGTCAGTGCTCAGTCATTAGTACTCAGGTTAGTACAACAAAAATTAACAATATTACTAGTTTTAGTAATCTGTATGACGTAGACATGTAGTCAATAATTTTTTTGCTAAGAACATTTGTGAATATCTAGTAGGTATTTGTTATGGAATTTTATGAAGTCCGCGAACCGCAAGGCAAACTTTTTTTGGAATTTTATTAGATTTTTCGATGTGTAGATTTACTCTCCAATAAGTGATATAATAAAGTAGGTATGGTAAATTACATTGTTTTCTTGCATATACATATATACATATAATTTATTGGTCCAGTGTACTACAAACGGCTTTATAAATGGTTGGTGCTCACGCTACTGTGAGTATGCTTGATTTTTCATAAAAAAAAAAAAAAAAAAATAATGATTCTGGTCATTTTTCTGAAATTTCTTGAAAAGGGCGTATATTTTTAATTTTCCCTGGGTGTTAAAAAGTTAAGATCCGGCCCTGATTACAAATGTCAAATATAAACATAATTCTTTTCATATAATTCATATAATAATATACTTTATTTCAGTGTACTTACTTTTGCAAGCAAAAACAATTTGTGAAATTCGGCATCACAATTTAATCTGATATTTTTCAATACAATAATATCTTCAGCATGGCTTACTGCTTCTCTTATATCAATTTTTTTCTTTTTGTAGTAACTTACACAATGGTAATCCAAAAGAAAAAACCAACTAGAAAAATATTTTATTATAAAATAAAATAAATTATATTTATTAATTACTATTTACTTGTATAATTTGTAAGGATATAAGAAATTCTGAATCAATAGCTTTTAATAGTAGCTATTTTTAGCTTCCGTTGCAGTGGAATCATTTCAATTAGAAATATTTTCTAATGATTCAACTACGAATGCAAATAGTTCAATGAAATCTGTTACCGCATCATAACGCTGCACCCATCTTGTAACACATAATCTTTTTAAAGTTTTAACCTTAAGATCCTCATTACTATTTTCAATGTTTGTTAAAAGAACATTTTGACATATTGGTGTATTAAAGAAAACATAGACGTTTACGGATAAATATTTATAACCGGTTTTTTTTTAGTTTCTTAATAATTTATAAGTTTGTATTTGAGCTATTTGTAAGTTTAAGACAATATAAAAATACAATTCATAGGTGGAGCTAACCTCCATACCCCACCTCGTAATTACACCCCTGCTACATATATAATATTATCTTGGTCGGACAACCGATTTATTTATTCACATTATTTAACGTCTTTACATTAATTTAACGTATTTATTTATGGTCTGCACGCGCCAAAAATGTTAGGCCCGGCTTGGTCCGGATTATCTGCTAACGTACTCGTATAAGGCCCGTTTCACAGCTGCGTGTATCGTCCACAATGTTTTCGAATTACACTTTTTAAGTTCATACACGCCGAACAGACAAGGGCCCGTATGGGTTAATGCGATCGGTGCATATAAACTTAAGCAATGTAAGTTAAAAAACGCCATGTATAAACGTTCGGCTGTGAAATATTATTCAAAGCCCGGCTCGTCCCTAATGAGTGTTTTATCAGTGAAATTGAATTTTTGTATAAATTTTTTTACATTCTGAAAAAATACGACCCGTATCGTAATAGATTTAAAAATTTTAAATGCCCGACCCGGGGTCCATGACTCGTTTAAAAAAATCCCGACTCTGTCTGAATTTAAATTTTAAGGGTCAGGCTCATGCCGGTAACAAGTACTTACATTGAGAGATATTACACAGGGACGATCACAAAAAAAATCATGGGAGGGTGTAATCTTCAAAATTGCCGACTAGAATTTGAAATTCAAAATTTTTGTGAACTATTAAGTTATTTTTAGTTACATTTTGTAAATTTATAATTTATTTATTACCTTATGTTTCAATTCTTAGTTTGAATTAAATTTAAAGTGGAAACTTAAGAATACCTAACTTATTTTAAATTTATATCAGAATAAAATAACGTCAACAAAAATAATATATGAAATAGGTAATAATTATCATATAACTCATCACTTATTATTTATTACAAAATGGTTATAAAATGAGTGTTACAGTATTTAAAATTTTAAAAACTTATATTAATCACAATTGAACCCTGCGTTGCTTCAGCGTTGCCCATTTGTGTACAAGATCATCGATATCCAAAGTATCTGTTATGTCTTTTTCACAACTCAACATCATTAGTGCATTTAATCGTTGATCAGCCATTTTCGATCTTAGGTAATTTTTTATTAATTTTAATTTACTAAACATTCTTTCGTCAGATGCAGTAATAACAGGAGCAGTCAATGCTAAATGACAAATTCGATTAACCCACGGAAGAATTGATTTTGATGACTCAGATTTTTCAAAAATGTTATTTAAATTTTCTCCATCACATTGATTTAACAGAATTTCAATTTCTGCATGTATTGCATCAATGTCGTGAATTTTCGCACTATTTGTCATTTCGGGAAATAATTTTACAGCACCCGCAACATTTTCTAATGAACAAGTATTATTGTCAAATGGCATTTTGAAAATATTAAATAAAGGTTTGAGTGTTTCAATAGTTATTTTTAAATGTTCAGTTGTTAAGCTTATCAGTGTATCTAATACTTGTTTAAATTCTTTACGATAAAATAATTTTAATGAGAAGTCTGATTGAGTCATTGGATTAGAATCTATTATTTTTGGTATCGATCGTTTATGATGATGTTTCTTAAAATCTTCTATTGGATCTAAATCTAGTTTTCTTGAAAATATTAGAGCTGCGTCTATAATAGTATCCAGTCCATCAGAATCTTTGTTTATATTTTCAAGCGATTTAATTGCACCCTCTATTAAATTACTTGCATCAATTATATTCAATTACTTTGCTTCTAACTTCTCTGTGAGTGCTATGAGTTTATATAATACATTTTTCATAAATATTATTGATACAATAAAATCAAATGTTGTTATTTTTTTAAACAGAGCTATTGATTGGCTTTTAGTTTTTCTATCATATAAATTTGATGAGGAGATTTCTTGCAAAGTTTCAAGAATTATTTCAAACGATGTCCAAACTGCTTTAACCGATTCTGCACGAGACGTCCATCGCGTTTTTGATAAATTACACAACTGCAAACTACCTTCAATTTCAGATAATTTTTTACTAAAAATTCCATACCGCTTTGTACTGGCATTAAAAAAAACATATAGACTTTCTAGGTTACCAATTAGGTTAAGTATAATGATACTAGCATTGCAGCCATGTTCTAAAAATGTGTTAACACGGTGCGCTTGACATGGGATATAAGGTATATGGTGATTGGCCAGTTTTGAAAGTTCTTTTTGCGCTCCATGGAATTTACCAAACATACTTGAAGCAAAATCGTAAGACTGAAAAGCGATGAAGTCTGGATTCAATTCGTTTCTTACTAAGGTATCGTAAATATTCTTTGCAATCCCAAGAAGTCTCTCTTTAACATTTCCGTTATTATTAACGTATCGCACACATATTGCCAATCTATCTTGATGGGTAATATCGGGAGTCGTGTCTGCCAGAACTGAATAAATTTCTGCATTTTTTACCTCCTTAATTACTCGATTTCTAGTTTCTGAAGATAGCAGTTCTATGAATTCATTTTGAGACCTAGAACCAAGACGGTAAAGTTGTTTTACACCATTTTGAGGATCTTACAGACCTAATTAAAAGTTTAATTGATAATTCTCACCCTCTATCAAAACATTTCTTTGATAATTCTAGACGGTATAATACCTCTGTTTCAAATGACATCGTTTGGAGCAAACGAAATAACTGAAGGGAACTTCATGCCCTCTTTTAAAATTCAGGGTCAAGTGCATCATTTAATATGTAGTTTATTACCCGAAATTGGAAATAATGCTAAATTTTTACAAATATATTTTATGTCAGAGTCGGATCAAATAACTATTCGAACAAATATGATTCCAAATTTAACAAGAGGTCTCATTGAATCATTGCAAACAGTTTTGCGTGAAAATAATCACCTCATACAGAGCTTCAGATCTAATCTGGAGTCGAGGTCTTTTGATGAGTTGCTAAACTTTAAGTTAATTATTCATGCTGACAGATTACCTCAAGATGAACACATAGGTCAATATAATGCACCTACCATCGATGAAGTAGCTGTATTATTAGTCAATGAAGATAAAGGTCCCAGAGATATAGTTCTGCACGGTCGGAGTGGACACTTGAGTCGAGTTTCCGAATTGAATAGACCTTATGATGCACTGCAATATCCATTGATGTATACTAGAGGCGAAAATGGTTATCATATTAATATTTTACAGAAAAATAACCAAAATCGAACAAAAACTGTCTCCTGCATGCAATTTTATTCTTATTGGTTTATGGTTAGAGAAACAAGTCTAAATCATCTACATTATTACGAAACATTTTTCAGCCAATTCGCCGTAGATATGATGGCAAAAATGATTTCTGAAAGACTACACTTTATTCGTAACCATCAAAAACAACTACGTGCGGATGATTATGTTCACCTCCGAGATGCTGTTAACAATGATGCAAATATTAATGCTAATATAAGGTGGGACAACAAGTAATTCTTCCCTCCTCTTTTACTGGCTCCCCACGTTACATGCATGAAAAAAAATCAGGATGCCATGACTTATGTTCATAAATTTGTCCGTCCAGATTTATTTATTACTTTCACATGCATTCCGGAGTGGCCGGAAATAAAAAATGAATTATTTCAAGACCAAAAGTCGTTTGATAAACACAATATAATCTCTAGAGTTTTTCATCTCAAACTAAAAAAGTTTATGCATGTATTAAAAAATAAATATATTTTCAAATTAGATCTTCATGTAAAGTTGCATTAGCAGTAGCTTCATCTGGTATAGCAGCAACTCTCCTTAGTGGCGGCAGAACTGCTCACTCGACTTTCAAGTTACCGTTAAATGTATTATTTGATACAGAATATGTTTGTCCGATTCGTAAAAATGGCCCTCTTAGAAAAATTCTTCAAGAAACCTCATTCGTTGTGTAGGATGAGTGTACAATGAGTCACAGATCACATATCGAAGAAATTGATCGAACATTAAAAGATCTTAGGTGTAATAATAAGTTTATGGGTGACATAACATTTGTTTTCGCTGGTGATTTCCGTCAAACCTTACCAGTAATCCCTAAAGGTACTCGAGCTGATGTCGTTAATGCTTGCTTAAAATCTTCCCTATATGGAACTATGTTGAAAAACTTTATTTGCGAACAAACATGAGAATTTAATTATGCGGAGGGGACGATATTTTTCCAGCACAGTAGTTGAAAATTGGAAATGGAACTTTAGAATATGAAAATGGTTACATTTCTGTCAATCACACGATTGGACGGGTGGTCAATAACGTGGAAGAGTTGATTTCTACAGTATATCCTGACATTTTTAATCTGTCCAATAAATCTTATCAGTGGTTATGTGAAAGAGCTATTATTTCTCCGAGAAATGTAACAGCAGGAGAAATTAATGATATCATCCTTCTAAAATTCGATGGACACTCACGTGAATATCTATTGATACAGTTACATCAACAGATGATGCTATTCATTATCCACAAGAATTTCTCTATTCTCTTTCTCCTTCGGGATTTCCTCCTCATAAGCTAAAATTAAAAATTGGTGCTCCAATTACATTATTACGTAATCTTCAACCACCGAACTTATGTAACGGTACAAGATTACAAATAAAATCGTTGCGAAATAATATTATAGAAGCCGTAATTCTTAAAGGGCCAGCGAAAGGAGAAATTGCATTTATTCCAAGAATTCCCATGATTCCTTCTGACTTGCCGTTTTCTTTCAAACGGCTTCAATTACCGGTTGAAGTTTCTTTTGCCATTACCATAAACAAAGCGCAAGGTCAAACATTCAAGTACGTTGGCGTAGATCTTCGTACAGAGTGCTTTTCACATGGGCAATTATACGTGGCATTTTCTCGAACTGGGGACCCGAATCATCTTATGATTTTAATTTCAACAGGAAATACAACAAAAAACATCATATACTCAGAAGTCTTATAAAATTCTTATTTTAATTCTTTTTTTTTCTTCATCAACTTGAATCAAATTCTTTATCAATCATAAATTATTTCTTTTTTATCTGTATTTATTTTTATCATTTATAACGCTAGAAAAATTCCAATCCGTTTTCATTAACCGTTTTTTTATATGTACTTGCCGATCACATTAAACAATAATATTTGAATAAAAAATTCTATATATCATGGTCTGAAGGCTAAATAAACAACCAATCACGGGCGAAGCTGTGACGGGTCGGCTAGTAGTTTATAAATCTATAATAGATATATATATATTTATAATTTCTTACAATAAATACAATTTTAGGTATAATTTCAATTTTTTATTTTTATTTATAATTAAAATATTTTAAATTATGTTTTATAAAAATGTACATGATGTATATAGAGTATGAATTAAAGTAAATATCTAAAATAAATATAGGTATGTTATTTATTATTTACTTGTACTTATTTTTCCATTTAGAAAAATTCTTTCGTCTGAAACAAAATAATTTAAGATTAAAAGATTAAAACAATCATAATTTTCAATATATCAAAAACTTTATAAATAATATCTAGCACATTGGGAAATACTGTATGCTATATGGGTTAGAGTTATAATACAATCTATCCCTGTGTGCAAATTCAGGATGTTAACAACTATGCGACTGTAGTTTTAAGATCTCGAATGTGATTGCGGAAAACGACTTCTATACGTTATCGCATAGATAACGTGCAACAAATCTAATTCAAAATTACGTCTCTGAGAAATCTTAGAAGCAAGTGTATGCGATTGACTTTTGTGAAAGTACATGGAATTAATATTGAGATTATTACATTTATGCACTCGCATAGATATCATAGGGCACTTCAAAATAATAATAAAATATATTATATTGTTTAAAAATAGAATAATATAACATATATATAATAAATATATATTATGTATATTATTATACTACATCGCAAATACGTCGCATATACATCACAATCCACCAACATATTTTTATAGAATATTCCATAAATATTTATATATACCTAATAATATTCAATCTATCACAGGTTTTTCCCGAGATAATCGTACAATCATCCTCCACTATCACATGCACATCCCAAGCTCAAAGTCCCAACGCGCTGTTGCCTAAACTGTTGTTATTTTCTGGCGTGTGATTTATTTTACTTTCCGTCTAGCATTTGCCGTTTGACAATTGAATATTTTGTATTTTTGTTGTGTACGTAAACATCATGGCCTCTAATCAGGTAATTATAATTTCTATGTATTTTTTTAATTTTATTTATTTCCTCCTAATTTAATGAGTTAGATACAAAAAGGAATAGTACAATTAAAATATTACTTGTGTTGCATTTCAATGTTTCTTTTTCTTTTTAACTTAGGAATCAGTGAATTATCCACCTAGATAGGTAATGTATTTAATGTTTATTGTAGTTTGTACTCATAGATCATAGAATAAAGACTATATTCTATAAGTAGTTTGTTATCGGTACTTAGGAAAAATTATTAAAAGTGTAAGATATAGGTATTGAAAAAAATAGAGTATAAATAATACCTAATTAATAAAATAATCCAAATTGTAATATGTACCGATAAATTTTCATGAAACAAATTTTAGTTATTTAATTAGGTATTTACTACATTGAAATTTTTTTTTTTATTCATCAATTTCTACTGTATCAGTAAAAGATATTACTAACTACAAAAAGTAGATGACCCATTTGCTCCACACTAGAAACAGCTACGTGTCATTTATTTAATATTTGATTACCTACATATTATATAAATGTTTAAACCATTATTTTATTTTTATGTAAGTAGGTATCCATAATTGTAAATATTTTACAGAATATATTGCGTTTATTTTACAGTGGGTAGTCGGATTTTTTTGAATCTGAAAATAAGTATTCAGTTTTACCATATTCTTGGTTAATATTTTGTGGAAATTTATGGATTTCAAAATGGCCTAAATCTGGTAATGTTCCTGAACTTATAAATTTATTAGCAGAACCCGAAATAGACTGGCCAACTTATCCAGTTAAAATTGTTTCAGAATTTTTTTTGTAAGTACTAGTGTATTTTTTTTATTTTTATTAATTAAAGGCTTATTATCCAGTTTATTAGGTGTATATTGTACAAAATTTTTTTAAACGTTCTTTTTAGTTAAATTTAAGAATTTGTATCATTCAATATAGTATTTACTATTTAGTATTATTTAATAACTAGTAGGTATGGTACTAATATGAAGTACCTAGGTATAAATATTTTAAAATCTTCATATCAAAAAATATATTTTTATTTATTTAAATTGAAATAAATAAGTAATTTAATATTTTCATTATTTTCCTCTAGCAAAATATGATGACGCTGCATTTAAAGAAAGACAAATATTTTTACTAGCTTCAGCATCCGAATCTGAAAATCATGAAAAAAAAAAAAGAAATTGAGAAGAACTAAGTACATTCCTGTACCTGGAGATAGTGACAGTAAAATTCTTATCATAATATTATTATGTGTTAATAATTTGATTTAATGTTCAAACTAAAGCACAATAATTTTGGATTAATCTATAAATCCTAGGAATTACATTAGATTATATACATTTACAGTGACTACATACATATGATGTATGTATGCACATATAGGCATATACAAAAGTATTTGTAGGTGTTAGTAGGTTTATAGTTAAGTTTAGGAAACACATATTCTTAACTATCTATTATATTTTTCTCAGGTTTTATAATTTTTTTTTAATCCATATTGTTATTACATCTAATTAGGTACCATTATTTATGAATTGAACAAAAAATGAATAAATTTAAACAGTTCTTTAATTTATTTATTTAGCACTTTCTATGTTAAAAATGGTTATTTAAAATGTATTGTTAAGAAAAAAAAAATTTTGAATAGTATCTGAAAACATTATTGTAAATTATACCTATATTTTAAAATATTGTGTTTTCGACAGTTTTTTTTTCTGTATATTAAGTACTATAATAATTCTAATTTAATTTATTATGTATTTTTTATTGTAATTCATTTTTAGCGTGTAGCAGTAATCCACAAACACCTGTCAAAATTATGGAAGTTAAATCATCTTCATCTAGTACTGCAACAAAACCTACATATGTAAATAATATGAAATTAAATACAGTACCTGATGAAGAGTCACATTTGATGAACAAAAATTCAATATCTTGTATATATTTAACTATTTTTATTAACCTATTTAAAATCACTCTATTTAATTTATTTATTATTTTACCATAGCTGTTATAAATATGATGTGTAACATTGATGATGAGAATGATATTGCTGAACTCTCAACACCTTTAGTAACTCCAACATCAATCCACACTAATATTTCAACTACTATGGACAATAGTGTGTTATCAATCAATTCTAGTAGCAAAAAAACAAGTCCAGCTTTGACATATCATAATTTAAATTTACCAAATCAAAAAAATCTAAATGAAGTCATCTATGAAAAAGTATCAACCACCCTTGCATATGTTAAACGAATTGAAGGTAAATTAGAAGGAATAGAAGCTCTATTAAATGGTAACATAGGTCATATAAGAAGTACAGCTGTAGATAATGACATCAGTTCGTGTTTGACCACCGACCGTACAACACGTGTGCACTCGTGATATCGCTTTATAGCTCTCCGATAGCAATCACCTACTTTACGGCCGGTGTACAACAGGTAATATGATTTAATGTATTTTTAATCACATTATATAACGTGTACACCGATACATCTATTACTACGATGAATAAAACACCGGGCAGTTCGCCCAAAAATAATTCTAATAAACCAACCACTCTCAATACATCAAATAAATTTAACCCATCGCCCACACAAAAACATTTTTCTACATTACCCTCCAAATCATCTTTGAACAACAAATCCTCTCCAAAAACCCCGGTCGACGATGAAAAAAGAAACCGTCTTTCACAATCACCTACTAACTACCCAAGCACATCATCAAAAAACTCCCACCAACCCATCACATCTCTATCACAGACTAATGATAATAATAAACAAGAAACAAACAATATCGCAGTTTACGGAACCCATACCTCTACTAATGGCCCACAGCCCATTATTGTACCCACTATTAAATCTACTAATATTAACACAAATACTAATACAAATTTTGCATCTGTCACTGCCATGGAAAGTACCCCGAACAGACAACAAGCAATAGTATTCAACTCCATAGACGGGATTCCGCAGAAAGAATACGTACTAGCTATCGGAAAAATAGTTAAACCAATAAACATTATCTTTGTATCAAGAATATCCAACAATCGTTTTTTGTATTTTCTTATCGAGCAAACAAGTCCTTGATAATCTAATGCAACATACCCAATCTATTTATATCAACGACCATATAATCCAAATACGTAGATTAATAAACCCGGCAAAACGAATTATTTTATCTAACGTATGTCCTTCCATACCTAATCGATCAATACTTGACACATTAAAAAATATAGATATAATTCCTACTTCTCAAATAAACCATTTAAAAGCCGGCATCAATGTGGAAGGCTATGAGCACATTATGAGCTTTCGTCGACAAATGTATATTAATAATGAAGACACTTCTTAACTTCCCAGCTCATTGATAATCAATGTTAATGACAACCAGTTTTGAATATTTTTCACTGACGATACTCTAACTTGTTTCCTTTGTAAATCGAACGGTCACACGTCCAATAACTGTAAAATAAACTCCGAAAGTAAACCATTAAACGATCGTACTATCATATCAAGTAAAATCAACGAATACAGTGATACATCCGAAATACCCCCTTTACCTTCAGAAACTACTCGATCACCTCCCAACCCAAAACAAAATTTTAATCAAGAATATACATCCACTAATTGGTCATCAGAAACTGATCCTCCCACATCTATAATACCCAATCAGGAAGAAGCATTAACACCTTCTTCACCTACAAAAGATATATATAAAAGACCAATCTCTAACTCATCATCTTTAAAACCTCCAGATTCTCCTGATAATATAAATGCCTCTATTACCACACAGAAAATCGAAAAAACAATAAAAAAAGCCAAAATACAATCCAGATCAAATTCAGCCAACAGATCTAACATTAATTCTGAAGAATGGCTAAAATCACTGAAACCTATAGAAGATTATTTCACAAGTAGCGACCTTTTACCGATCACATACATACAATTCATACACATTTTCGATAACTTCACGAATGAGTCTATCAACATCCACTCACTCACTGAAGAGGTTAATATTGATCTTACAACTTTATTAGACCTAATAGACCAATTCCGGACACTGACTCTAGACCGTACAATTAAAAGTCGTTTAACAAAATTATCAAATCTTCTTTTCCAAGCCCTGCCCCCATTATTAAGTTCACACCCAAAACCACACAGTTCATAAACGCATTAAACATAATAAATTAATAAACAACTAACCTAAAAAAAAAAAAA